AGACATCTTATGGACGTCCACATGTCCAAACTCGAATGTCCATTGGACGTCCATAGGAGTTCCATGTGCTATCTGGGTATACTGCAAGTGATTTTCAGCATGTGGCAATCTACTGATCGATGTACTTTAAAACAAGAATGTCTTCTTTCAGAAGATTTTGTTGATGAACTGTGCCAACGCTTAAAAGCATTCATTCTTCATAATTTCATTTCAAAAGCTCAATCAAAGTTCATATCTAATAAGAAAGAAAATTTATGAGAAGATGAACTGCTACTTCAGTGTGATTTTGCAGAAAATTATGCCTACGTTGTACAAGATACAGCACAGGCTTTCCATTATAACAATGACCAATGCATAGTTTTTACAGTTCTATTTTACTATTGTTCTTTTACAGTTCTATTTTACTATTGTTTCTGGAAAAAAAATGGAGCATTACAGCATTATTTTACTATCAGATTGCACAACTTACGACGCAGCAGCAGTGTACATGATGCAGCAAATGGTAATACCGGAAATTAAAAAAGTATGTCCAAAAGTGAACAAAATTATTTACATAACCGATGGCGCTAAACAGCATTTCAAAAATAGATTTCAAATGATCCATCTGATGAATCACAAAGTTGATTTTGACATTGAAGCCGAATGACACTTCCATGCTCCATCACATGGTAAAGGACTATGTAATGGTCTTGGAGCGACTCGCTATAGCCTACAAATTGATCCAAACAATGCTATTTTGAACTCAAGATCTCTCTTCTCTTGGGCTAAGAAAAAATTTACTAACATACGATTTTTTTATTACACTAAAGAGGATCACCAGAAGACTTTGAAATCTCTGAATAAAAAATTTCCTAATGCACCTGCTGTGCCCAATATTCAGATGTGTCACGCATTCATCCCTATTTCTAATAAAAGATTAGAGATAAAAAGATATTCAAACGCAGTAGATACTATAATTACTGCAAGATTATTAGAGCATAACATATGTCATCTTGTTTCTTCCCGGAAACTCAATACGGTGATTGATTTCTAGAGATACTAACAATAAGTGGCTTTTAAGTAAAAAAAGGTATTTGCCGGAACATTGAAACACTTTAATCGAAAATGAGACTAAATCTTTTTATTTCCCTCTTTACGGACGTCATATTGATCTCGCTATGTTGTTTTTTGGCAATAAAACATATTTCATCAAAAAGTACTAGTAAAGACGAGTAATTTAATCCCTTACACCCTTTTTTTACGTTGCATCAATAGACAGGGAGATGATTCGGTTGACGTGAAACATCAGACATTACATTCGTGATCAGTAACTCCAAAAATCCTTATTGAGGTCATTTTGAGGTCGATTCAATTATTGAACAGCTAATAACGTATGATTATCCAGGGATTCATGCGATTTTTGGCACTTTCAGGCGGCATATTAGAGCCGCCATCTTGATTTTTTCAAAGTGGCACATGGCTTCTGAAAGTACTTGAGTAGACAAATTTTTTGAGTCATTACACGTCCCTGTACGTTGTATTAAATTTTGGACAGACAAATGATCCGATTGACGTGGAACGTCCCATATATATGTATACAGGGTGACCCATTTTAACTTAGGCAGCCAAATAACTCGAAAAATAAGCACACTACGAAAAAATGGTTAGAATCAAAATTTCGTCATTTCGAGGGGGACGTATAAATCCAATGACGTTAAAATCAGCCCCCCCACCCCTCCCCCTGGGCGGTGAAGGGGGGCAAGTTTGAAATCTTAAATGGAACCCCCTATTTTTCATTGCATATTCTTGTAGCTTATCTCGAGAGCTTTCCAAAACACTATAATTAAGTACCTTTTTATTAAGTACTTTTTGAGTTATAAGGCTTGAAATAATTTCTTAATTTTACATAAACCATAAAATATCTAGTAAACCATTCATTTTTCGATTATCTTACCTTCATACTTTTATGTACAAAATAATGAGAGGAATCAATTGGTGTAAAGAAAACACATAGTTGTTTCTAAGAAAAAATATGTAATTTGCAATTAACAATTCCATATTTTTTCTTAAAAACAACTGTATGTTTTCTTTACACCAATTGATTCCTTTCATTATTTTGTACATAAAAGTATGAAGGTAAGATAATCGAAAAATGAATGGTTTACTAGATATTTTATGGTTTATGTAAAATTAAGAAATTATTTCAAGTCTTATAACTCAAAAAGTACTTAATAAAAAGGTACTTAATTATAGTGTTTTGGAAAGCTCTCGAGATAAGCTACAAGAATATGCAATGAAAAATAGGGGGTCCCATTTAAGATTTCAAACTTGCCCCCCTTCACCGCCCAGGGGGAGGGGTGGGGGGGCTGATTTTAACGTCATTGGATTTATACGTCCCCCTCGAAATGACGAAATTTTGATTCTAACCATTTTTTCGTAGTGTGCTTATTTTTCGAGTTATTTGGCTGCCTAAGTTAAAATGGGTCACCCTGTATATACAGGATGTCCCATTTTAAAAGTTCCACCCTCCATAACTTTTTTAATTTTGATTGTAGAAAAAAATGTTTCAGACAAACGTTATATGGCTTGAAGGAGGACATAAAATGGTGTCATTAGTTTGACATTGAAGAGTTACCTGAAGGTCACGTGAAGATCACATTCAATTTTTTAAATGGGACACACTACATGCTTTTATATGTTCTTATAGTTCATATCGAGAGCTTTCCAAAACACTATAATTAAGTTAGTTTTCATTAAGTACTTTCCGAGTTATGAGGCTTGAAATCATTCCTTAATGTTACATAAACTGTAATATATCTAGTAAAATATTCATTTTTCGATTATCTTGTTTTAATACTTTTATGTACAAAATAATGAGAGGAATAAATTGTCGTGAAGAAAAAATATAGTTGGTTCGAAGAAAAAATATGTAATTGTTAATTGCAAATTACATATTTTTTCTTAAAAATAACTATGTGTTTTCTTTACACCAATTGATTCCTCTCATTATTTTGTACATAAAAGTATTAAGACAAGATAATCGAAAAATGAATATTTTACTAGATATTTTATGGTTTATGTGTAAAATTAAGATATTATTTCAAGCCTTATAACTCGAAAAGTACTTAATGGAAAAATTGTAGTGTTTTGGAAAGCTCTCGATGTCAGCTACAGGAATACCAAATAAAAAATGGACGTTTCTATTTAAGATTTTAAAGTTGACCTTCACATGGCCTTCAAATGATTTTCCAAGGTCAAATTATTGTCATCATCTTATGGCTCCCTTGAAGCTATACAACTTTTGTTTGAAACATTTTTCGATTTAATGCAAATGTTTCTGAGATATTTGAGTGGGTCCTTTAAAATGGGACACCCTGTATATAAGGGTAGACCAATAACTCTGTCCACTTGGAATATCTCCGTTATTTTTAGAGATACAAAAATTTTGTACGTATAAAAATTATACGGTACCAAGAGGGCCGTAATATGCTACTAATAATTTTTTTGTAGGTGGAGGTGCTTCAAAGATTTCGAGGTCATCTCCATTTTTTTGAATGGAACCCCCCATTTTTATTACCTATTCTTATAGCTTATCTCGAGAGCTTTCCAAAACACTATAATAAAGTATTTCTTCATTGAGTACTTTTTGAGTTATGATGGTTAAAATCATTTCTTAATTTTACATAAACCATAAAATATCTAGTAAAATATTCATTTTTCGATTATCTTACTTTAATGCTTTTATGTACAAAATAATGAGGGGAATCAATTGGTGTAAAGAAAACATACAGTTGTTTTTAAGAAAAAATATGAAATTGTTAATTGCAAATTATATATATTTTTTTAAAACAACTTTTTTCTTTACACCAATTGATTTCTCTCATTATTCTGTATATAAAAATATTAAGGTAAGATAATAAAAGAATGAATATTTTACTAGATATTTTATAATTTATGTAAAATTAAGAAATTATTTCAAGCCTTATAACTTGAAAAGTACTCAATGAAGAAATACTTTATTATAGTGTTTTGGAAAGCTCTCGAGATAAGCTATAAGAATAGGTAATAAAAATGGGGGGTTCCATTCAAAAAAATGGAGATGACCTCGAAATCTTTGAAGCACCTCCACCTACAAAAAAATTATTAGTATCATATTACAGCTTTTTAGCATTAGTAGCATATTACAGCTCTCTTGGTACCGTACAACTTTTATATGTATAAAATTTTTGTATCTCTAAAAATAACGGAGATATTCCAGGTGGACAGAGTTATTGGTCCACTCTGTATATATAAAATCAAGATGTTGCTGTGGTTCTGTTATTTCATGACAACATGTGTTTCTGTTGTGTTTTACTGTTACTTTTTGAGACAGCAGCGTTTAATTTTTGCCGCATTTTTGCTATTGCGTTCTTGCGCAGATAAATTTGATTTTTAATGATGTTTTGCCGAGCATAATGGTATGTCATATTGTTAATATGTATTATTTTTTATGCAATAAACTTTTGCTTAAATTTGGATTAGTTTTTACTGTATTTCTGCCAGAACCAATTAAGATGGTAGATCATGCGCGACTACTATCAAAATTCTTTCAGTATAACATGTAATGCATAATTTGCAATATATGAACTTGACAGATTTGACTATTTGAAATATGACGTAAAAACTTTGAAGACTTATTCAGGAAAATTTTAAAAGGAGCTTAATCATATTATTTTGAAAACATTTTTTCGACATTAGCTATAATAATCCAGAATAAAAAATGTGTCCTACAAAAAACTTACAGTGGTTTTCTTATATAATCTCATAGTCAAAATAAATGTTGCATCTTATTTTCCTTTTTAAACTGAACAACTCTTGTTTAAAAGAAATTGTATGTACTTTTTTAGATATTTGGATATCTCCACTTTAATAAATCACTTTAATGTACATATATTTATAGAATTTAAATACATTTTTTAAAAATTTAATATAAATATAAAATTACGCGTGACTTAATAAATGCATAAAATCAATATTTTTAGGGGATGAAGTGATTTATTTGGATCCTCATACTACACAGAAATCAGGTAGTATTGAAGACAAGATGAATGAAGAAGAAGTTGAAATGGATACTACATATCACTGCAAATCAGCTAGTCGCATTCCTATTACAGGCATGGATCCTTCTGTGGCACTCGTTAGTATAATCTATTTTTATTTTTATCTTTCATTAAAATTGATCAAAAATATATTTAAAACCAGGGAAGGGAACGTTACTTTTTAAAAGTAACTAGTTACCGTTACTCGTTACCAAGTTAAGAAGGTAACTAGTTACCGTTTTTAGTTATTGATTTTCAAAAGTAACTAGTTATAGTTACCGTTACTTAAAAAATAACGGTTCGTTACTTTTTCGTTACTTTTTTTAATCTATAATTGTAATAAATTTTGTTTCGTGCAATATATACTCTCTCTCTTTCTTTCTTTATGAAAGGATTATCTAAATCACAAAACATATGTTAAATTTTATCGATATTTTTTATTAATTTTTAATAAAAGTTGATATTCTAATAAGTCATCATTTAGATGGCCTTTAGAAGGTGATAGTACAGAATTACCGATACTAAACAATCTTTCAACCGAAGCACTGCTTGGCAAAGCCGTATTAAATTTAATGAATAACTTTTTTAATTTTGGAAAATCTAGTAATAATGCAACGTCAGATCTTTTCGATTTCAGAAATCGTGTTAGTTCTTCTTCGCCAGATTCTGAAGTTGATGTTGATTGTCCATGAAAATTAAAAAAATCGTCATAATCATTATCTTTGCTTGAGTTTAATGAACTTTCATTTGAGCGAATGTCTAACAAATCTTCTAAATAGGCTCTAGCTAATTTCTTCTTATCTCCATTTAACCAGTTTAGTTTAAATTTAGGATGTAATGAACTTGCTATTATTAATTCCTTTTTTTCAAATATTGTACAAAATCTAAAATTTAAAAAATATACATATAATAAAATATTTATACTTTTATATTTTTTATTATGCAAATATTATATGCATTTTTTTAGTTGTATATTTTTTTATTATTTAATAAATTACCTTCGATTTAAGCCTTCTTGAATTGCGATAACTAATGATTGACAATCCGTCAAATTTTTGATGTTTTTTAATTTTTCTTGTAAGCTGCTCAATACGGGCAATAAGTATCCCATATACATTCCTACGTCACTTTGTAAGATATCTAATGCTCTAGCTAAAGGCTCCATTACCTAAAGAAAATATTTAAAATATATACTTATTAATATACGTGCATATACAATACATATGTATATATATATACATATTATACATATAATTCATATATTCTATTACATTAAATATGTGCACTTTACCTGACAATACTCGTCTAAAAATTTTACGTCATTATTTGTCAGCCTTTGTAAATTACAATAGTCCAAACAGTGATTAATTTTATCTGAGCTATCTTTCAAAAGAGTTACAAGTTGATATGTGGAATCAAAAGTTGAATTCCATCTATAACAAATAAATTTTGTTTTTATATTGTATATATGTATAAGTATATATCATGTGTATGTGTGTTCGTATGTTTGTAAGCATATGTATGTGTAAATAGATATTTTTAAAAAAATATAACATTTATTAAAATAAAATACAGAAAAAATATAGATAAATAAAAAATAAGAGCTTTTTTAGTTTTTACCTCGTAACTGGAGTTTTTAGATAAACGCCGCAAATATCTTTTATTTTGTCGGCCACTTGAATAGACTGGTTTTGTTTATTCCACAATTTCGATAATTTTGCAAATATTATTCTGTACTTTTTTTTATATGTGGGATCATTCTCCAAGGCTCTTTCAGAATCTTTGGCTGCAATAAGATTAAGCGTGTGACTAACACACCTATGGTGTGGTGGAAGAGTAATATCTTCCGTGTCTAAACTTTCTTCATTCGTAATCAATAGATCACTTAAATTGTGAAATTCCGTGTTAATCTCCTTATCTTGTTCTTTTTCAAAGTCTCTAAAAAATTAAATATATTTATATAAAAATGTAATATGTGGTTTTTTTAATATAATGAATACATATAAAATTATTATGCACATACATATAATACAAAAGTGTATATAATATCATAAAATATTAACTCACCGAAATGCTTTAACAAAATTTGAACCATTATCTGTTGTGCAACAAATTTTATTTTGAATATGATATTCAACAAATATAGAGTTAATGGCTTTTGCTAAAACATCAAAAGTATGTTTCCCTTTAATTCTACGACAAGCTAAGGCGGCAGACTCTCTTGTTAAATTTTCTGGATTAATCCAATGGACCGTTACTCCTAAGTAACTTCTATAAAAATAAAAGATTTTAATTATTTTAATTATTATGTAATAAAACATTAAAAAATAAAATATTAATGTAAAAATATTAAATAAAACATAATTATACACACATGTACCTTTTCGCTTTGCTCCATAAATCTGCTGTAGTTGAAACCGTATCGATTTCAGTAAATTGTTTTTCAAGAGCGATTTTCATATCCAGATATAATTTATTAAGTTTATCTCTTAATGTTTTTTTACACATTATTCGAATTGATGAAGGCAATCCAATTTTAATCAAATCAATAAATGCAGGACTCTCAACAACCGCGAGTGGTTGGACATTTTCAACAATAAATCGTAGTATGGCAGTGTCTAACTTATTTTGAGTTATTCCAGCTGTTCCAGAACTCCATTTTTGTAACACACACTGCTTTTTTGTAACATTATTAATGTCTTCTTCATATTGACGTTTATTATGTGTGAGTTTAGATTTAGCTTTTTCCAAATCTTTTAAAGAATGTGGATGTTTTACCTATATTAATTCAATATAATTAAAACTTAGAAATAAAAGTAATATCATATATATGTATAGATAGGTATACATGTATGTATGTATGTATGTATGCATATATGTATGCGTGCATGTATATATGTATGTATGTATGTATGCTTGCATTTATGTGATATATTATATATACATATGTATGTAAATATGTGTGTATACATATATATGTATATTATAAATGTTACAATATAAAGAAAATAATAATATAGTAACTAAAAATTATTTAAAAGTTCAATTAACTAAAAAAGTTTTTAAACAGAAATAAAAGAAAGCATATCTAAAAAAAATTATAAAATTAATTTATAACAAAATACACACAAATATATAGATATATTGAAACAGATATATATGTAAATAACAGATATTAAGATATAAATTTTTATATTAATATTGTTTTAAATTTAAAAAAATCTGTTATAAAATACAAATAATTCTTTGTCATTTACAAAAATAAAAATAAAAAATTTAATGTTAAAAAGAAATAAAAGAATAAAAATATATATTAATTTATGAAAGAATTATTAATTTTTATATTTATTTAAACACACTTATTTATTTAAACACACTTTTACATGCCATGCTTTTTATACCTACTATTTTTACATTGGAGATTTGATTCAATGAACTAGAATATACGGTGCAATTGTGTACATTCCTTAGAATCTAAAAAAAAATTTTTTAATTTTACAAATTTTCTTGTATTCTTTTTTATTTAAATATTGAATTAATTACTATTATAAAAATATACAGTTATCGTTATTGCGTTTATTTTGCACAAAGTTTTTAAGAAATTAAGAAATTATTTTATATGTATATATATATATATGTATTTATTTATTTATTTAGACATTTATTTATTTATTTATTTATATGTATATTAACAAATAAAATATTGAAATTTATTTATTAACATAAATAAAAATAATAAGAAAACTAAACTTACGCTTATGTGCTTCTTTAAATTGGCTGTGGAGCTTTTGCTAGCATGTATAATTTTTTTGCCTAAACATAATTTGCAAGTAAATGCATAATTCTTCTCATTACTAAGTTCAGGTTCGAATACAAAAATTTCTTTGTATGCCGGCCATGGTGCCTTATTCAAGGATTTAGATGATGTACTTGGCGTATTCGCCTCTTCGGCTATCGTTTCCATTTCTGAGCAGATCCGATCGCTACAAAAAATCACAAACCAAGGCCAAAAGTTTTATTATTTTTATTCAGAGAGACTTATTATTAAATAATATTTCGTGTGATACAGAATAAAGCCGCACAATACTAAATTATAAGTAATGTCTTTTAATAATAAACGATTAAATAATTAAACATACTTACACTGTGAGAGATATAAAATATCACTTGCGACGTAGTCAGTGCAAAGTGCAAACCGCGAAATCAAAAACGAACGTAGCGTAGACAGACAGACCGTGTACGCGAGGAGATAACGGCCGTATAATAGCACAAAGATATAGAACCGCTGTAAAAGCCGAGACAGACCGCACGAGAGTACGGCGGAGAACGACCGCGTGATACAGTAATGCGGGAATATGCACTGTCAAGGAAGCAGAGAAAAGGTATGTGTACGGGAACACTTGCACAAATCGTGAACACATTGATTGGTACGATGATAAATATTACGAACTCCGTAATAAAAGCAGGACTGCGAACGCGACACGCTATTATTGCGACGTTACTTCTTCGATACCGGCACATGAACGATTGCCACGCGGTATAGCTTAAGGTTAAGTTAGTTCTTAGTTACTTCCTGCGCAGCCTTCTGTACAGAGGACAGGGCAGGTGCACATGCGCAACGGGCGTGCCAAATGGCGAACCTAGTGCGGCGAGTCTTACAACGAGCACGGTATCATGCCGATTTGCTAATGCATCGATCAGCGAAAAAGTAACGCTAAAAGTAACTGTAAATTCGTTATCGTTACTAAAAAAATGTAACTACGTTATCGTTACAGTTACAGAAAAAAAAGTGTAACGCCGTTACCAATCCGTTACCAAAAAAAAGTAACTATAACGGTAACGGCGTTACAAGTAACGCGTTACTTCCCTTCCCTGTTTAAAACTATGGATATTAATATAGTACAAAATCATCAATAAACCAGAAAATACACAAAGTATTATTGCAAAAGATTTGAACAATAGAGGAAGACATGTCGCATTGTGATTAAACTCAATCGTGCACTTTGGAGATATCAATTTTACGCCGTTTTTAGTGTATAGAGACAAGAATTTAGGAATTTATTAGTACATATATGAAAATGTATCATTCATTCGTCAT